CCAGCCTCTGTGAGCGCCCAGTGTTTACAAGTTCAGCGTCTTCCCTCACTCGCTGTGGCATGACACTCACTCCGTGGGGGTTTTCACTCTTTTCTAGAAAGCTACAGCATCAAAGGCTTGTTTTGCATGCCACCTGAGGACATGCGAGGAGCTCCAGGGTGAGGCTTGGGTTCTAATAGTGCACTGCCCCTCTGTGCCTGGGTCAGGCCTGAGCTGCCTGGGTCTCAGACCCCCGCCTCTAGCACAGGGGATTACTGGGTCGTCAAAAAAGTCACGATGTATTTTTCGATGCAAAAACACATCATGACTTTTCCGATGACCCAGTAATAGCCCGGCTTCACAGAGCTGTTCACAGGAAACGCAATAACCCGTGGAACACACTTAGCATAAGCCTGGCACGGTCAGCTAGTTATTATAATACCGTGGCTCATTTATTCAACACATGTTCAGCTGGTACTTTAGCTACTTACCAGGCCACTGCTCAAATGTTCATAATGACTCCCCCAAAAAAGATTTCAGGCCCTGTGGAATTCATTCAGGCCCTGGTCTTTCTACTTCTACTTCCCGCCTGGCAAAGTGGACACTAAGGTACACAGGGAGGGGACATGCATGGATGCAGGCGGGCCTTCTGCAACGTGCACTAAGCGAATGCTTGAGCAGGCTGACAAAGCCGACGGGGCTCCACCAGGAACAGCAGCAGATACGAGAGGCCGCACACAGCCCTGCAGCGGCACAGCTCCTTTCCCACTGGCAAAACCACTCTTCCTGAAAGGGCGGGTTTTCCTCTTCCTTTTCCTGATGTGCTTCCTGGTAGCCAGAGGGGGATTCGCCCCCAAATGGACCACTCACCCTCAGGTCAGCATCCCCCCGCAGAAAGAGAACACAAACTACTGGGTTGTGAGAAAAGCCATACTTATTTTTCTATGGTTTTCTGTGCAAAAATGCATCATGACTTTTCCGATGACCCATATAGCCCACAGGCCAACTTTAAGCCAGAAAGTCCTTATCCAAGGAAAAGAATGTTTCTTTTCTAAAAAAAAGAATGATTTAGTTTAGTTTAGTTTTGTTTTGTTTTTTTGAGAGGTTTTTTCACTATAGGGCACGTGCGCTCGCCAGACAGAGAGAGAGAGACATAGAGAATGGTGATGCGGCAATCCCTTTCT